TTTTTTTTTTTTTTTTTTGTTTCTTACTAATACATATGTTAGAATATTTTACTAAAAATCCTATATATGTTAATGTATACATATATATATATATATATATAGATGTATATATATATATCTGTATGCATACAAATATTGTTTGGACAATGACAACGCTAAGCAATTAGTAACCGATTTGCATATTTACTCATATAATTATGATTCGTTTGCTTAGGAGGAATAGGGCAATTTTCTAATTATAATAATGATTTTTGTTTTTTGTATTATAATAAAAAGGCGTATTCTTTATTATGTTTAATAGGATCAACTTGGTTTAGAGCGAGTTTAAGTTTTATGTTGTATGTACATGTACATGTAGAGTAAAATCAGGTTTTACATCTCAAAATTTTCTTGAATGTTTAAAATTTTTGGTTCAACTTTTTTGATATATTACAACAGAATTTGTATTTTAGGTAAAATGATGTTTTTGAGGGGGGTTCAGTTAGCTTATTAGGAGCATCACAACCAAACCGGTATTGTTTAGTAAGTTTTTTCCATTTTTTTTTTTTTCTTATAATAATTTCGAAACTCAATAATGACCTGAGCCTAAATAAAAGCGAATGATTTGAAACCAAAACAAATAAAAAAAAAAAAACGATTAATATGCCAGCCAATGGGTCGGAAAATCACATCTATTTAAATATTAGTTAACAAAATACGATAACAATTGAAAAAAAATTTTTTTTTTTTTAATGATAATAAGAAGTGGAAAAAATAATAAATCAACCAAGAATTCGCATTTCTTCTGTCTTGCTGCTTTCATTTCATTCTTTTTTTTCTCCATTTCGTTGCTCTGAAGTCGTCTCATTATCCTCACTCTCCCTAGGGATCCATTCACAGTTGGTTCTTTTTGAACTAATCATCATAATTAGTTGATGTTATGCATCGGTTTTTTTTTTTTTTTTTTTTTTTTTTTTTTTTTTTTTTTTTTTTTTTTGTGTTTATTTATTGTAATTTTTACTAAAGCCTTGTTTCTCATTTTTTTTTCTTTTTTAAATTTTTTTTTATTTCTTTTATATTCTTACACATCACAGCCAGTTCTCTTGATAACTTCTTGTTTTATCATTGTTCCTAGTTAATGAATTTCTTGTATAAATTATTTTTGACATTTTCATTCAACTGTTTTTTTATGGAACACATTGCTATTATAGCGGTTTCACCGTTACTTGTAATGCCATTGTTTGAAAATGTAGGGATTTTATTAATTTTGTCATTGTTAATACTGTTGCCACCAATTTCCGTAAATGATGAATTATCACCACCACCACCACCACCACCACCACCACCACCACCACCATCGCCACTAACAACAATCTTACGATCGATGCCATTAAGCACACCTCCTTTACCTCGATAAGCATTTTTATTACCGTTGTCGCAAGGGCTGCTAACGATATTATTGGTTTTCAATTGCTTCAATTTATTATTATTAGAGCTACTATAGCGTTGACGTAGATTTGCATAAAATTTTTCTTTAAAAGCATTGGCTGAATATTTGTGCTCAATAAAGGTGGGTGATATGGCTGGTAACAATGTTGTTGCTGTTGTTGCGCTACCGACTGCTGATGCTGCTGCCGTGGCTGAGGCAATAGTTGATGGCGCCACATGTGCAGGGGCTAGAGCAGCATAGAAACAGTTATTAGTAGCGATATTACTCAAATGTTGATTAGGTATAGCTGTGGCTAACAATTGTCCACTAAAAGGAGAGGAGGAACGGGACTCTGTAATAACGAAAGAGAGAGAAAAAGGAAATATAAAAGCGAACTAAAACTTAAATGAACGCAATAAACAAATAAATTAAAAATCAATTTATAAATATAAATATTAAAAAATATAATAATTATATAATACATCAACCGGGTTTGAGGCCATTTTTCTTACACTTTTACTTATTTATTGAAAGAGAAAAAGTGCTCTTTATTTTTTATAACATTTCATTTATATATATATATATATATATATATTAATGTATTCGTACGTCGATGAGTTGAAAAATGAAAACCGAAATTTGTGAATTAAAAATGAAATTTTTTGTGATTTCAGATACATAATCTAAATCTTGAAATTGATATTCTTAAAATTAAAAAAAAAGAAAAAAAAAAAAATAAATAAATAAAAAAACAAGGAGATCTAAGAAATCGCAAGTTGTAATTGTTAATTTAATTAAAAAATTTCGAGTTTTCTCAATGAATATAATTTTCATTTTTTGCTTTTTTAAAGTTTTTAATAACAACTTTATATGTGTGCTGTAGTAGTATTAGTAGTAGTAGTAGTAGTAGTAGTAGTAATAAACTTCTATATTCTCCATCAAATGATCTTAAGTGAAAGTGTGATTATTTTAAAAATCTCATATAGATTTTGGTAAATTCTGAGAAAGATAATAAATATAACATAAAAACACAGCAAAGTCAAGAAATTTGCTTACATTGAATTTTGATACCGTTTTTCAAGAACAAAAAAAAAATAAAAAAAAAAAACGATATGTCACTAAACAATAATTAATTAATTTTTTAATCAACTTTTCGTTACAAGTTACATTTGTTCGCTTTTTATCGCTTTAGTTAAAAAAAAATATCTACAGTTAATAATATTTTATTTTCAAGAATGTTTCATTGGTTTCAAGCGTGACTCTACCTACTTAATGATGTAAAAAGCACAAGATCAACAAAGGCATACTATAATAAATAAATATGGGACAATTTCAATAGTATAGTGATTATTTAAAAAAGTAAAGTATCATTGAATTTTAAAAAGAAACACAAAGGGAGGAGAGAAAGCTTCTAGATAAATAATACGAGAGAAAAAAGCAAACAAATTCGGTTTAACAAAATTGATTTTGTATAATCCGATTTTTATCTTTATAACTTTATAACCAATTTAATAAATTATAGGTTTGTATAAGAGATCAACAGTTTTTTTTTTTTTTTTTTTTTTTCTAACAATAATGCATACATAATATAAGGAGTGTAAATGAAGTTTTGAGAATATATTAATAAATAATAATAACAAAACTAATCTAATTTAATGTCGACAGTCATTTAGTAAGGAATTAAAGTAAAATACAATCCGTGGTACACGTCTTGACGTTAATAAATATACAGAAAACAATGTTTACGATAAATACGTAAAGATTTATGAATATTGCACAAAAAAAAAATATATATATATATTTAATATATATCTAGCAGTCTGCAGATGTTTTCAGAGAGAGCTTCAATGGAGTGCTAATTACTTAACGTACCCTAAGCAAAATTGCTAATTAAAAATGCAATTAAGATCAATAAGATGAAAAAGCCAAAAAAAAAAAAAAAAAAAAAAAAAAAAAATTGGGGGGAAACCCAAATTTTTTTTTTATACCCATCTCCCCCTAGGGTTTGTTGTTGTCGTCTGTTGGAAAACATATGATCCTTTTTACTTAACTGCTGGAAATTTGTTTGGCAATTTTTTCATTCAAAATATATGCTACGCAAACTTATGCAGCAGAAATGTTAGACGAGCACGAGCGATTGCCTTCTGTTCAAGCACCATTTGTTCGACTTTAAATAAGTTAAATAAGTTCGGAGCCCTGCCTGTTGATGTTTAAATCTGTTTCGCACATCGTTTACAAACTTTCCCGTTCGATGCGGATGCAGTGTCATTTATGATAGCATTGCCCATAAATAGACGTAACGTCTACAACTAAGCAACACAGTAGGGACAATAGCGCCAGACGGAACATATCAAGAATTTCAAAATCGATTTTCAATCGGTTCGCGCTCAATTGAATAACTGTGAAAAAACGGACCTGTTCTTCTAGCAAACATTCCAGGTTGTAATCATAATTATGGGCAGGTAAATACAGGGTCTCAGCTCGGAAATTGATTAAATATATTTATAAAATACTAAGACATATGGCCCCGCCTCTTCTTCTTCATGGTGAGTATAAAAAAAAAACAGTTAAGAAAAAGTTTATAAAGGGTTATCTTGTTGTTAAGCCACTCTATCTAAAGTCCTTTTCAATCAGCAATCGAAATGACGTGTATTTGTAATTTATGTGCGGTGTGTACGTATGTAAGTTGAAATTTATGAAATTAAATATTTCGTTTTAAATTTATGAAATTCAATATTACGAATATTAATTAATTTGAATTTCTCAGAGATAACATTAGGTCGATATATACGTTTGGAAAAAAATTTTAATTTCGTTTTTTTTTTTTTTTTTTTTTTTTTTTTCAATATATATATAAATTGCTAGGATGTAAGAGGAAACTGTTAGTATTTACTTATATGCCTGCCGCCTAATCAGTTTGGGAGGTTGTTGATCAACAATAACAACACAACAATGCATTACGCTTTATCAATTTAAAAAATATTTTTGTTTAAATGTCTATTTAAATTTACGACGCATTAATAATTTCTTTAGTATAGGCTACGTCTCCTCATTAATCGAACCGACACCAGCATCAGCAACGGCAACAGTTAGAGCGACAACTTCCGTTGAAGGACAAACAGTATTAACGCCGCCACCGCCGCTATTACCAACACTGGTATTGTTCGCAGTGGGCGAATTGGAATTCGACGGTGGCGGTGTATTAGCCGCAGTTATATGCTGCGTTTGCTGTTGCTGTTTATTAGCACTAGCACTATTGCCGTTGCCACAAATTTGAGTTAAATGAATATTGGCAACAATTTGTGAATGTTGTTGTTGCTGTTGCTTTTTATGCTGTTGCATGGTTGCATTTAATACACTGGCTACTGCGACCACGTTTTGTTTTTGTTGCACACTTACATTATTTGGACTAATAGGAGTTAAAGGAAGATGTTGTTGTTGCTGCGTTTGCTGTGTTTGTTGCTGTTGCTGTTGCTCTACCAACAAAATACTATTTTTATTCGTTGCGATTCCATTATTATTATGATTGTTGCTACAATTATTATTATTATTGTTGTTGTTGACATTATTATTCGCATTGCTTTGTATTGATTTTAAATGCTGATGTTGTTGTAATTGTTGCTGTGATTGTTGCAACAAATGTGTTGATGTATTCGTAGTTAAACTAGAAAGCGCATTACTTAACGATTGCTGATGTTGCTGCTGATTAGTGAATGTCAACGATTGAGTGGTTTTTGTAGGCGATGTTGCCGGTGTTAAAATACCTAAATTAACCAAATTCGGTAAAGTAATTTTTGTCGGTGTTGCAGTACTTGTACCCGTTGTAATGCTCTGCTGCTGAAGTTTGTTTTGTAAACAAGCAGCACTACCATTAAATTGATGTTGCTGTTGCTCTACAATATTACTGCTGCTACTACTGCCGCTATTTGTAGCCGCTGCTGCGGCGACATTAGTAGCCAATTTTAAAATTTTACTAGCAGCGGCATTGGCAGCCAGTAAATTGGTAGCAGCCGCAGTTTTAGCTACTGTTGCGGTTACACAGTTTGCTGTATTGCTGCCACCGTTGGCTTTCAATGACACCAAATTAATAGTGTTGCGCAATTGCAAATTGCTGCCATTACCTGTAGTAGATGTTGCTGCTGCAACTGTAGTCTGTATTGGTGTAACTGCACCAACAGTTGCTGCATTCACAACTTGTTGCTGATGAGTGCTGGCAGTAGAATTATATTGTTGTTGTTGTTGTTGTTGCTGCTGCTGCTGCTGTATAATTGCCTGCGCTATGCAGCCATTCGAATTGTTACTGCTTGAAAAGTGCTGCAACAAATGCGTACCACCATTGTTGACATTATTGCCACCACCACCACCTCCGCTACTGCCGTGGCAACTGCTTGCACTGCTCGACATGTTACTGATACTCGATGGACTTAGCGAACCCAACGATTGGGATGGCGATGTACTGCGCTGCAACAATATACCGCCAGTGTTGAGTACACTACTGACATGTTGAGTTGAAACTACATTTTCAGGCGATGAATTATGCGCCACCAATGCGTGACTCTTCAAGCCCTGGGCAGTTTTATAGCTTTTACCGCAATGACATTTATAACCCTTTCGTACCCTATAAAATATATAAGATAAAGAAATGTAAATTTCTAGAATGAATAGTAAAACTTAGAAAATATCGAGCCCAATTAATGGAAATAGTCGAGAGTCGGTCATTAATATCAGGTTATACGCAGCAGTAAAAAACATGGAAATAAACAAACAGAATATGCGAATTGTGAATTATGGCGTCCTGAAATGCTCGTATACTAATATAGAAACTTCAAAAAATCGAAAAATTTACTCGAATTTTGTAATTATCCTACATATCTCGCAAATCAATTATGTATAATCAAACTATTAATTATTTAGAAAAATATAAAAGAATGTAGGGTGTTTTATAAGACCGGTTTTACAAATAGTTCCATATCGTTTTCAAATATAAAATACTTACTTTCCATCCTTTTTATGACCGTTCTTTGAATGATATTTAATACCATTAACGTTCTTATAGCGTTTCTTACATCCCGGAACAGGACATGCAAATGGTTTTTCATTTCCGGGTGTGCCATTGCTGCCAGATCCGGAATGCCTTTTAAACAAAAATCACGCACAAATTTAATTAACAATAACATAACCAAAAAAATTAATCTCTGCTTTAAAAATAATATTGTGTAAAAACATAGATTAGCAGAGCCAATTCCCACCTGCTGCCATAGCGCATTATGAACTCGGAACTGAATTCTTCGGTTGTCCAAGAATCATTACTGTCTTCTGATTCGGAAACAACCATTTCATCTTCATCCATTTCACTGCCTGCAAAAAACAAAAAAAAAACAAAATCAAAATGCAGTTCACTTCGTTTGACGCGAAATTAAGAAAGATAAAAAGTCTAGTGCTACTAAAAAGGATCTTAATCGCCTTCCTATGGCACTGGGAATGCTGAAAATTAAAATTTCTATTTTTCGCATTTTCTAAAGTGAATCCCAAATGAAATTTCTTGTAGACTAGTCCCTTCGTTGACGCAAAATATGTATATGTATATATTAAGATTATTTTAATAAAAAATTCAAATATTAAGTATATTGTACCTGTTGGCGTGTTACTGCGATTTGATGAAGACATGCTGTAGCTGTGATGTTTAATCGCCAGCTTACGTTTGAGTTCAACGCCCGCAGCATTATTGGTGAGAAAGGGGCTCTCCTTGCGTGCATCATCCGATATAAATCGTAAAACATAGCTCAGCGGCAAACATGCTGGTTGTGCTTGCTCTTTTTGTTCAACAACTTTGGGATCATAATCTGCAAAAAATTAAAATAACATATATATATCTACTTAAGAATATATTAACATATATATATATCATTCATATTTTTAATTAAGATTTCTTCATGATTCTTCATGATGATGTCAGAATTTTAAAATTTTTAGCGACAAACGCAATAATAATACTAAGCATATGTCCGAAAAAGGCTCCATAATTATGATTATGTGATAGATATAATTGCATAATCAATATTATGTATTCAATTGACAATCAATGCATACATAGGCTTGCTTACTGCAAGTGCATTGCATTTACATTATTCGCGCATACATAAGGAAAACAAACACTAAAACTTTGTAATAAGTCTTAGGTAAAGATATCAAGTGAAGGTTCAACTTTCTTACTATAGCGAACGCATGATTCATCATTCGAAAGACATAAAATATGTATAGGAATCTGATTTGTCTCTCTATTCCAATATTTACAATCATTTTTAATTCCAATTGCGAAAATGTGCGCTTTTCATAAACCGATTAATAGATGGACCTTTTTGTACAAGTTTTAAAGCCGAGCATATATCTAATTTTTAGGATATTTTAGCTATTATAGCCTGCAGATCAAGCGGAGAGCCTAAAATTGCCTAAAGAAATAAGCAAATTCAGAAATTGTGTGAACAAAATTTTATACCTACATATTGGATAACAACGTAAGTCATATGGACTGTAATCTCAGTTATCATTCGGGCACAAGGATATAAGTAACGACTGTTTTTTTTTTTGCAAATATTCAAAAATATATATTGTTTGTGTCATCGCAAAATGAAAACTAGTTTTAATTATTTATTTTTTTTTTTTTTTTTTGATATTTCAACTTCTTGAAAGCTGCTGTGCGCTTAATTTGTTTTATGGATATTCTAGTCAAATTATCTGATTTTGGTTGAATAAAAGTAACCCGCACCATCCAATCGATAAAGATTAAATATATTTTAGATGTTTTTTGAAGCACTCAGATAACAGATCTTGATTTTGATTCTTACGAATTAATACACAAATATTTATGCAAACATCAAAAAAATAGAGTCAAATGCTTGTTAGATGCGCACATCGCTTATCAGCTCTATGTTAATGAACAGTTAAGATTTATTCATTATTTCCTTTAATATTGAAAAGTGGAATTTTATCCCATTTTCGTTGACGTTGTAAATAAAGAACAGCTGACAATTGTAATTTCATCCCATTTTCCTTGCGATGTAAACAAAGCTCAGCTGGAAAATGTCATTTATAAGTTTACAATAACGTATCAGGCGAAATCTCTTTTCCGATATGCTCTCATAAATAGCATAAGAGAGAGAGAGAGAGAGAAGTTTTATTTTCTCTTATATGAAAAATTTTTTACTTTATTGATTTTTCCACAGCTGATAAGACAAATATGTCGTATTGAATGAAAGCTAAGGCGTTTCTAAGAGGTAGAGAGGTGTGTATAGAAATCAGCGCCAACAGAATATATACATATAGATATATAAAATCATCGCAGCAACCCTGACAAACTTGTATATAATCGACTAATTCAACAAACATGAACCCCACCGTACCCCATATATCCCATATATGTGAATGTAAACACTTCTGTTCGCACACTCGCGCGCATATACGCTTACGTTTAAATGAACATTGCACGGGTTTCATGTTTTTTTTTTTTATTATTTTTTTTGATTCTTTTTTACTAAATTTATTAAAGTAAACAAGGTATTTGGCAGAAAAAAACCAGCGATACGGCACAATAAATTCGTTTAATAAATTAATCACGCGGTAGATGGTACTTTCCCCTTAATTGAATTTAACTGAATTGCTGTTGTTGCCACCTCCCCACTTTACCGTTTTTTCTACACTTGTATGGTTTTCCTTCTAGTCTTTTTTTTTTATTTTCTTTTTGTGTATTATATTCATACGTTGGTTTTATTCATATTAAACAACTTACCAATGTGTGTATCCTCGATATGCTGTATCAAATCGCCTAAACTTGGAAATGTGATTCCGCAGCCATTAAATTTACAAATATTGAGCAAGAAAACGGCCATGTCCCTTTAAAAGCAGACTGCGGAATCGCCGACAATTGCTGCGATGTTTGCCTTCTACCGAAAACGCAGGTCGTTTCTGCTATTTATCTAAATGTCTTCTTATTTCTCTCTGTTCTATGTACTTATATATATATATCTATATATATATATATTATATATATGTTTATATATATATATTGTTCTCTTTCGAACACCTTCGTTTGCTAATAATGGATAATAGCAATAGTTTTTTCGCCGTATAGATTTATATTTTTTATCTCTCTCAAACGCTTTGCGTTCTGGTTTTATTATATTTCAAATACTGTTGGTTACGTTGTTAATTCTAATTTGATTTCTGCTTTTCTTGCTTCTTATTGTTTATTATATATTCAGTTGCTTCTTTTTATTGTTTTATAGTTTTTTTTTTTTTTTTTGTAGTTTCGGTCGAATAATTGCAAGCGGAGTGTACAGATTGTTGGTTAAGGTAGTTACTTGATTATTTTTTTTTTGTTGCTCTCTTTCTGTTTCTCTACCCCTCCGCGCGTCTCCGGTTCTCTTTGCTACACCTGAGCAATTGAGGTGGTGACTTTATAATGCAGCTTCTTTCCCTCCCCCCAAAATTAAAATGTATAATTCTTGTAATACCCTTTAGCTTTTCAAAATCATTTTATGCCATCATGTCAGACTCACAGCTTGTATGTATTACTACACGTATATGTAACTTATATTCAAGTTGCTCCAATTCCACGTTGCTTTTTTTTTTTTTTTATTGTTTATAAATTCATGTTATATGCCGGTGGGTAATTGTTCTATCGATTTAAAGCCTATAGTAATATAATTCTTGTGAAAAATTTCAGTGACACTAAAATCTGAAAAGAAACAATATATAAAATTTTTTTAATTTAAAATTTGCCAAAGTACTTATTAATATGAATAAAAAATCATTTTTGTTTGTATTGCTCTCTATTAATGGCTAATCAATGTTAAGCTATTGATATTAAAACAACATCAAGGGATTTAGACTCTAGTTATTTGTTATTATTAAACCAACAATTTGAATAATTTGGACACCTATATATTTGCGAAATCTTGTATAACAAAAAAAAAAAAAAAAACGAAAAAAGTGTCCCGTGAAAAACATATTTTTAACTTATTAAATTACCTTAGATTTTAAATGAAGTTGGCCCGGCCACCACCATATGTTTATATTGCATTAAATTTTTTTATTACCGTTTAAAGCTTTTTGCGAATAATTATTACGAAAAGTACACTTCAGTCCAAAATTTATAACTGAAACGCTGTTTTGTCTTTAGATATTCACATTTAGGTTTCTCTTAAAAATAACCAATTGTTTATTTATACATATTTTTTTATGAGTTTCAAAACAGCCGATAATTGCACTCCCCCTCTCGATATATTTTGCACTCTTACTTATGGACGGATTTTTTTTAAATGTGTCTATAAAAAGTTGCTTGAATTCTTGTAGACGTTTCAGGTGGAATATGAGGTGAATTTTAAAAACTTCTACTCAACACACCCTGTTCGTACTTCATCAATACAAACAATAATCAATCCCCTTTTTTGTTCTCTCTCTCTCTTGCTCAGATTTACTGACGCTGCTGTTATGCAATTTTCGGGGGCGATGGTATCTATCATCGATATCGAAGCGAATACCAAAAAAAGGCTTGAAACTTTTCACACTTGTCATATTTTGTCCGATTATTATTTCAAATGTTATTAAATCATTTTATTATTGATTTATGGTGATTTTTAGATTGTTTTAAATTGTCTAACTATTTAAAACATATCCGGATCGTGCGTTAATAAAACGAAGACACCTCCACGACCTCTTTTGCTCACGCTAAGTGTTGCCAAAGTAACGAAATTTAAAAACTTTAAAGATACGATTACCATGAACAGTTTGGGTAAAAAAATTAAAATATTATATAATTTGCGAGCATATTCCAGTTGGCCAATTGCTCTTCAAATTTCGATTCTGTTTTCGTTAATAAGAAAAGAATTATAATTTTTATTCTATTGATTATTTAAGAAAATTCAAGAATGGGGAAATCGTGACGAAAAGTTCTAACTTTTTCCAGCTAGTCACCTGTTTTCGGTACGGTACGGTGTTCTCTGTAAAATGCTTTAAACCGAAATTTTATAATTATCTTCTAAAATAAATTGTAAATTTGAAACATTTGAACTACCTATCACAAGAAGTATTCTTCTCCTACTTGACTTAAAAGCATATCTAGATTATGGATCAGTTAAAATATATAGCGACAATGCCTTTCTTCAAAAGTATAGGTAATTTTGTATTGGCTACTATTAAATACTGATCAACACTATAATTTAAAAATATTGATCAGATTTGAACAAAGTAGAGGAAATAATTTTTAATAGATACCCAGATATATTGCTGAAGGTCTTAAAACATTGTAAGTTATTCTGAAATTGTTCAAAAATAAATTCATTTAAAATCATTTACGTATAGAAAACCTGCCATTAGTAAATTTTATAATATACTGCAGTAAATAAGTACATTGTAATGAATTCTTCCTTGTGGCAATACTAAATGCCGGAAAAGAACTGTCAAATTTCCAGTTCACCACAATTTGAATCGAAGATTTTGCTAGCTACAGTTATTCTCATTTCATTTTTGGCACTATTTCACTGTTGTCAGGGTTTGTTCAAAGTGAGTACACGCAAAGAGTTCATCTGCTGTTTATTAAAAAAAAAAATTTGAGAATATCTATGTACCAAAGCAAAGTGTTAAGTAATCAGTGCTGTGTATAAAATTAATAATAAAGTGTAAAGGTTTTTCTAACGAAGTTAACAAGAATACAAGAATAATAAATTAATTAAAGAAAATATTGCAAACTCCTTAATTCCTGCTCAGACGAGATTTATTTTCTGCGTGTAAATAATTCGATATGAAGAGAGACGATAGTGGTGAAGTTGACGGCCATCTTGTGAGGTGGTGGTGAGAAAAAGCGAATGGAAGAAGATAGGAAAACTTCCACGAAAACCGAAGACGAGACATAGCTAAAGACACGACATTTAGAAATTGTCAGTTGGAATCAAGTTCAGCGGCTTTCAGCAACTCCACATCGTTAATTGGGAAAAAGTCAGAAGTTTCTCAAATCAAAAAAGTGCAAATAATTGTTATTTAGTTAAAAAGAACTAACACAGTTATATGCAAATATTAAATCTTAAAAAGGAAATGTCAATATGTTACGTAGCCAAAAGTGGTTGAAATTGCTGCAAAATGGTTACGTAACAATTTGTTAGAAAAATTTACTTAAATGATTTGATATAAGAAGAGAAAGAGAATATTTGTTAAACTATGAAAGAGATTTGTTGTTAAATTATAATGCGACTATTTTTTTAAATTAATCAGGATTACTTCTTATCTTACAGAGCTTGGTGCGCTAGCTTCGGTTTATTACTGGTCCTAAATTAATAGCAAATAAAATTAACAAAAATGTTTGTATCAACAGTGTCACGTATTGCCCCCGTAGCTAGGAATGCTGTAAGTAAAAATACAAATTTCATTTTATTATTTGACAATAATTCCGGAAAATTGAAAATTTCGACATTCTTCCAAATTTAAAATTACATAAGTTCTCGAATCGATTTTTTTTTTGTTAGGGGGATTAAAAGCATACCCTGCCATCATTAATGCTCTTTTACATTTAGTTTAACTAGAATCGCCGACATGGTGAATTTCCAATGACCACGCTTTAGAAGTGTACTTGATAGTAAGAGAGAGAGTGAGACAAAACGTTACATAAGTTTGAGGTTAGGTTTCATAAACTCTCTTAATAGCTACTCGTGTGTATTAAAGAAAAAAAATAAAATTTTATCAAAATTATTTATATCTATCTATATTTATATAAATTGCTTCCTTCAACTTTGAAAATAAACTCAATCCTGCTTCTTTAAAAGTTCTGGCCATCTGTCGATATGGGAAACGAGTGAATGTTGTTTTCCAAACACTGAAAAGGTACATTAGTATTAATGAAAGTTTTAGGGAGGCATTAGTATAGCCTCATAGGATCTTCTATTGTATTCATGTCGAGTCTTACATGGGAGAGTTGTTTAATATCAATACTGATTAAAAGTGCTTAATTTCATATGCCAAACCTTGCAGAGTTATCAATTGAAAAATTCCTATAAATAGTGTTTATTTCTCTTGTAAAACATTGTCTCTGATGCTTACAAATTATTGCATAATTGCGATTTTTGTATGCTCTCGCCTAAACACTCATTCATATTATTGATTATATATGTTGAAGATAGTAAGAATTGGGTAACTAATAGGTTATTGTATACACTTTTTCTTTTTTCATTTTAAAAAGAAAAGAGGTAGAAGGAGCGTGGTAAATTCTTAATAAAAATTAACCCTAAAACAAAATAACCGGTTATAAATTTTTTTTGCTTGTCGAGAACTTGTGTTACAACTTATTATGCTCCATTTTGTGAAAGAAAACATGTTTTCATTATTTCCCTTTAAAACCACCCTTAAAGAAAATTTCAATTTTGATAAGTATCTTTTTTATTTTCTCATAATATTTTGTTTTCTTTAGTTGCTGAACGGTACTAAGCAATACTTGCGACCATTGAGCAGCGCAGTTATCAGCCAAAGCCAGACTTTGGCCGCGCAGAACACAACCCCAGTTGCATTACTGCCACAAATAAGGTCATTCCAGACCTCTCAAGTCACACGTGACATTGATTCAGCTGCCAAATTCATTGGTGCTGGTGCTGCAACAGTCGGTGTAGCTGGTTCCGGTTAGTATTGGAAGATAGACGACTTAATCATTATTCAAAGAATTACCTATGTATTTAGCGAAGAAGGCTGCATTTTCATGAAATAAGAAATTATAATTTAGCCACGTTAAGTCAGTTACAATCTAGCATCTGGGGCTTACAAACGAGTATCTGATTGCTCTATCTAATGCCTCGGGAAGGTCTGAGAATTGGTCAAAGTTCGCTTCAAACGTGTCCCGTGTTGTTTCTTAGGGACATGTGAACTTAAACTAATCAATTTCCTAGCAGGAAACTCGTATAATTAAGAGGCAAAAGGACAAGAAATTCTGCACTCCATTTTATGGCGCGTGCATTGGAATCTTTTGTGACCAGCGATTTTAGTGCGATATGCTTGCTACTCAAAAATATATTCCTTTGTTTGCCTTCTTGGCGATGATAAGGAAGATATTGGCGAGTAGAACTCAATTCAGACTAATCTGTGACTGACTTTTTAAGCGGCCAAATGAAATTTCTGATCGATGAAAGTTGCAGTTTTCTTTGCTTAATATTTTATAAATTATTAACATTCTTTTTTTGTTTTTTTTTGCTATATATCAATATGCTATTATGGCTGTTCGCGTATAAATCCTTCCAATACAAACAGGTGCCGGTATCGGAACAGTATTTGGTTCCCTTATCATTGGTTACGCTAGAAATCCATCGTTGAAACAGCAATTGTTCTCCTATGCTATTTTGGGTTTCGCCCTTTCTGAAGCTATGGGTCTGTTCTGTCTTATGATGGCCTTCTTGCTGCTCTTCGCTTTCTAAGGTGTTTATATGTCGTAGGGCAAACCTTAAATCTTAAAATACAACTATAATTAACATCAATTATAACAACAACAACAACAACGTCAGCAACAACAACAACAACCACTGCTCCGCTATCTTTATTGTTTTTAAAAAACATCCAGAAGTAATAAAAACAAAAAGCAACATTTTTATTTAAGTTTAAAACGAAAATAAAACAAAAAATCTAGAAAAATAAAATTAAGATTTGAAGTTGTATGTAAGCAATCAATTCCATTTGGCGACAAAACAGCAGCAATTAGCGGCAAGCACTTGAAGAAAATCGAGAAGATATTCGAACCGCCCCAGAGCAAATTTGCATTTGTCTGTGAAAGAAAAATATTTTTCCCATATACTCGGAATATTGGATTTATGTAATAAGATCATCATGTCCATGGACTTTTTTTTTTAAGCGAAACTTCAATGAACATAATAGTAGAGATTAGAAATATTTTTTTTTTGTTTTTTTTTTTTTTTAATAAAATTTTTAAAACCTAAGTCGCCATTAACACGACCTGAACTTTCATCGGCATATTTCTGCCTCGAATCTTTTTTTTTTCAGTAGGAAATCCGATTAGCGCGCTCTTGTATACTCCAATCTCCTCGGATGTCGGTTTTCTATGAAATTTGTAAAATATCAGATTATATTCGGTGAAAGTTTAGTAAGAGTTTGCGTATATATATATATATATATATATATATATATATATATATATATATATGTATATATATTTATATGTATACATACATTGTATATTATTTACCAGTGAAAAGTACTGAACAAAGTTTTTCCTTATTTTTTTTTGTGTAGATTTTGTTACAATTTTTATCGTACGTTAGTTTGCTTGCATTATTTTATCCCAAAATAGTTATTACAAATTAACATTAAAAACTTAACTGCTGTATAATCTATCATTGAAACAATTAACGAATAAACAATATACAGAATTCATGAATAAAATGTAATGGATTTAGCAAGAATGTTCTTTTATACCCGATGCTATGTAATAGATGTCAGATTTGCAAATATTTCTAAGTCAGCATAAATAATCGGACCGGATTAAATTTAAATTTCCCTTAACCTTCTACAGTTCACCAGCAGTACAGCACAGTTTAAAAATAAGTTAATTCACTCAACAGATTTGCCCATAATTTTCCTCCATCCTTTATATTTTCTAAATAATGGCATTATAACCGTGGAATTATAAGTTGGAGCTTCGATTTTGCTGCAATAAGTGCTGACGATTAATATTATAAAGCGTATTATAAAGTTCAGTCAAATCGTGCAAAAATGTGATTTGAAATATGTAAGATCGTCATATGGCTTGGGTGGAATGCCTCTCTATCTTGTAATGAAGTATCATAGAAGCAAACGGTCGATACTTCGGTCGAAATTTCGACTGAAATAATTATGATTCTATTATTAGTTTTAATAACGGCAAGCAATATGTGAACTGGGTGAGCGAAAATGTTACATATTCAGATGAGACTAACCCCGTGAACTATCAAAAGCGATTTTTTATTTTGCTTTTAATTAAGCGCTTGTGTATTCAATAATTGTGTTCCAAATTAAAATGTATCAATGGTTAATTGGGTTTACATTCATTTTATGTTTGAAAGAAGAACTCGGCGCATAAATTAAATTGTTTAAAAATGTAAAATCAAGATTTTGCTAATATAAAATTAGTCTGGCAACACTGTCCAATAAAAGAAAACGTTTTTTGAAACCTACAGTTTTAGGTGGTTTGCGTTAACATTACTATTCCAATAGTTTTTCTTCTTCTTCTGCAAGTTAAATGATTGATTCATTGTGTTGAACTCATGTTTTTTTTTTAATATTTAGTTAGTAGTTACTAGCTTTTGCATGGATTTTGCCAAAAACATATTAAAAAAATACGGGTGGAAGGAAGGTGACGGCTTGGGTAAAACAAACAATGGTATTACGAAAGCTTTACGGGCAAATTTGAAGTTTGATAAGGCCGGTTTTGGTTCCGATGTGGCTTCCAGTGATTTCAACAATCATTGGTGGGAAAGAGTTTTTAACGAGGCAGCCAGTAATGTCAATGTTAAACAAAAAGATGACGGTGAGACAGAATTCGATTTGATAAATGAAGGAGTGGAAATATCTACTAAAGGATATTCATTGGAAAAACTGAAAAAAGCCCGACGTAATCAATGTCCTGACAATACTGTCAGCTATGGAAATTTTTTGCAAACGGCTACGTTAAAAGCAGGAGGAGGTGCTATCGAAGTAGATCATCCTGGTAAAATAAATATTGCCGATATGGAAGTAGCTAAAGTAAATATTATGACCGATGAGGAACTGTTTGCAGCTTGCGGCGGCCGCACAGCTCACAAGGGGGCAAGACACGGTTTAAAATTGAGTGGGAAACTTTCACGTTTGGAAAAGCAAGAACAAGAATTGTTAGCGAAAATGTTTGGCGGGCAGCCTTCACTACAGAAAAGTACTAAAGCAGAGGAAGTTTCCGGAATAGTTGCCGACATAAAAGGACTAAAAAGAAAGGAAAAGTGCCAGAGTCCTTTCAAGAACACGGACGATCAATTTTCATACGAAACCGCTAAACCCAGTAAAAGGAAAAGGAAGTGCAATGTAACAAACATGCCCGAAAGTAACAAATCTTCAAAAACAAGGAAGGAGGGAACCAAACTAAATTTTCAAAAGAGTTCTGAACTTGAAATTTGCGAGATTAACGGTGAAAAGGCACAGGGGCCAGAAAAGACCACACGAGATTATAAAAATGATTCTGAATTAGATTTTGGTAAGATTAAAATTAAAAAGAAAAAAAGATGAAAGATAAAACAAACGAGTTTTCTGTATAGAAAATTTAATAGAAAATTCATTTTTTCGATTTCGCCTTTGATCTTCTTGACTTGCCTACGCGTTTGTTGGCTGACCCCTTGAAGCCTTTGCCTTTGGAAAATTTAGTGGCTTCTAAACCAGCCGATGACGATTTCGTATTACTTTTGCTACCCCTTTTTTTGCCACCAAATCCGAATTTCTTATTACGATTTCTACGGCTTTCGGCAGTCTTTTTAGTTTTAGTTTTAGTTTCAGGCTTTCTGGCATCTTCCAGGAAATCTAGATTTTTAAATTTACCCTTGCGGAATTTCTTGATGTTCTCTAGCATTTCTCTCTTTTCTTGTTCGCGCTGAACTTTCACTTGTTTATTTAATAATTTGCCCATTTTGCGTTGTAATCTTATCTGCCTGATTCGCTCGGATTTAGCCTGACCTTCTTGCTTGGCCATTAGATTAGCGCGTATCTTTTGCATATGTTCGTCGGATTTCGCCATTTCAGCGAAATAGTCATCAGGACGTTTTGTTTTCACACCTAGCTCATGTAATTTTTTTATGCCCTCCAACACTGCTGCCTGAGCTTGACGATGAAAAAGCATTTCTCTTTTAAAATCATTCAATACGGGATCTTCCTCGGGACGAATGTATGGTATTTTAGCATTGCCTTTAAACAAGTTAGCACGCTTTTGTTCATGTTTTTCTAAAGCTAAAGATAATTCAGGAGCTAATGGGGCCAACTCGTTGGTCATATCCATCCGTTCCAGCCAAGGCAAATCTTTTTTAATTTCATCTGTTTTCGTCAAAAGACGAGACTAATTAAAAAAATTAATATAATGGCAAAAATATTCGCTTAAATAGTAGCTTTTACTTACAACATTGTTAACTTTTTCCTTAGGCTTTTGAAATTCAATGTTTAAACCCGGTTTTAGATCACCGCGAACGAATGCTTCTTGTAACTGTAAAATTAGAAATGATTTAAGTTTATATGGGCCGTTTATTGAAAGGAATGCTTGCTTACCTCTGTTTCGGAATCCATCTCTGACAAATATTCCGAGTCGGAATCGTCCATTTCAAAATCGATCATTTTATTAAACAAATATAACAAATCGAACACGTGCAATAATGTTTTTATTTTGTTGTCTGCTTATACTTCTAGGAATAGTAAATTTGCTCTCATCTCTATGGAAATCTGGTTTAATTAACCACAGCGTGACCATATCGTATTTTAATGCATGCTCACAGTATTTTTTTTTAATGTGACAATTAAATAATAGAGAATCGAATAACGATGACGACATGTGGATTTAATACTTCTATTAATTACGTATGAAAAATATATTTGTATTCAACTCATTACCAACAACGAAAACGAAAGTTAACTTTCAACTACATAATTACCTCCCAATTTAATTCTTGTTCTTCTTTTAAAGCTGACGATTGTAACGAATGCAATTAATTGGCAGCCCTATGCCTCTTACAATTTAGGCGCTATTACTATTGTAGTATTAAAGCTATTCAAATAATATAAAAGTAGAAAAATTTTGTTTTTATAAATTGTCGCATAGATCTTCTACAGAACGTATAAGCCGAACTTCTCATTATCTTAGTCCACTCCCAATCAACATCCAAAGAAAAGAAAAAAATTCTACTAGAGTATAAACGGAACCTATTGACCTATTGACTGGAAATCAAGCGCCGTAAAACTTTCCACAAAAAAAAAAAAATGGCCGCAAAATTGGCTAATATTTATGAGGCTCTCTTACGCAAATACGGCCAAAAATACACAATCACCTATAAAATGCCTCCAACTTATATAAATAATATTATTGGTGTAGATGAAAATCAAGAAAAAATTCTTCTTTTTTATATAGAGGTAAATAATTTAAAAAAGACTTTATAAATTTTTGTAGTTTTATACGCAATCTTAAATTTAAGGAACGTTGCAATCCGAAAGTTGCTGATTCAGTGTCACCTTCTAAAATAAACATTAAAAAGAATAAAAAAACTGATTTAAACTTGACCGGCAGTCCATTGCAGGATGATTGCGAGGTGGATACTATTGATGATGATGTAGATATACCAATGAATTTGATTTGTGCCAAACCTTGGAAATTAGACGAGGAATGGCACAAAGGTATTACTCTTGAAAATGCTAGAGGCATAATATGTTCTCCAAGTTTTCAGCTATGTCCGGCTGCTAGGCAGTCTGTAGGATCTGTGTGGTTTCTTTGCTTACCTCACGATGTAAAGAAGACTCTGTTACTTCAATATGAGTTCACAAGCAAAGGAAGCTTTAGTCGTGGTATAGTCCATTATATTGGACTTATATCAGCTAAAGCGATTACAACGCAGTCGTTATTGAAGAATCATTTCTTTGCCGTTGGCGTGGAGAGGACTTGTATAGAAACTCATATAGAAAATATCTATCAAATTAAAAACAATATTACGATACGCTGCTCTTGGTCTACCGTATCTCCATTGCCACCGCTAATAGATTTGAGTACTTGTGATGTTATTTTAAATCAAACGTTTCGTGCGGATAGCTGTCATCCGCTTACTGAAGATTTTTTTAATCAATTGCTTATACTTATATCTATAAGGGAAGACATATTATCTTTCAAGAAATCGCAGGACTCTGATATCATAAGGGAACCTGTTTATCGATGTGGCATGTAAGTTTCCAACTAAATCATTTAAAATTTTTCTATTTTAAATTAAATTTTATTTTATTGCAGCGGCATCGAGATATCGGAAATTCGTGAAACTATTAACAAGGCTATGTTGGAAATGGCAGAATTTCTACCTACTCATTGTACCGACTCCGATATAGAAGATGTTATCCAAAGTGCCAAGTTAAGGCGACTCAATGATTTAACTGATAACTTATGGGAGATTTTGAAGCGTAAGTTCTTCGCCTTTTTGGGAGTTTCCTTGAAAAGGCTTAACTTTTTTCTTCTGGATTAAGGTTGCTCGTCCTATAAGGATCTGAAGCTGGCTTTTAATGTATTATTTCAGTCTGCCGCACGTTCTAATATCGTAGTAAGTGAACGTATTTCCTTGCTTTAGTTCGATATATTTGCTAAATGTATATTCGTTCACTAGAATACACCTGCGAATAAAAATCGTTTAGCGGAAATTATTACTGAAATTTCTAATCGTCGCTTGGCTATACCATGCTTAACCGGTTCTGAACCATTGGAGTTATTATTAGAAATTGGTTTAGAAAAACTTTACAAGGACTATGAGTATATTTTCGTGGAAAGTAAAATTTGCAGCTCAAATGATCTGCGAAATAAATGGTAAAATGCAAAATTTGCGCCGTCATTACTAAAAAAAAATGTATAAGAATCATAGCTTAGTTTTTGCTTAATGGCGAGACGTATTTTTTTTAGTTTATGCTTTTAGTTAATTTATGCACACTTCTATGAATAATGCAATATGTGCATTGTGTATATTTTCTAGGGCGAGAAAAGATCACAAGGAAGATGAGGCTGCCATTTTGAATGTTCGCAAGTCGTTACGCAATGCTGTTTTCCAACCAGAAAATGCTGCCGTACGCAAAACGTTGTTGCAAAACGATCGGAAAGCAAGTAACGATCAAGACGATTTAGTTGGACTTAAGAATAGTAACTTTGATGAAATTGAAAGCGCGCAAACATTGGAAAAATTGTTTCAAATCCACTGCACCCTCGAGCATGTGATTATGATACATATTAATTTAAATTTAAGCAATGGTATATTTGTATTAACTACATATGCATACAAAAAAAAAAAAAATCTTTATATATATATATATTTTTTTTTTTTTTTCATTCTAGCTTATTATGAAATCTTTGATCAATTGTTACGTAGAGCACCTCGTACTATCGATCAAATTCACGATCGTTCAATTGATGAAATACAAATTTCATTGTCGGCGCATTATGTTCGCGATCAATTACAAGGGTTAGTACGCAATTGCTTGCTATAAAAATAAATAATTTTCTTAAATTTCCAATTAATTTTCCATATATACATCTATATACACATCTATATCGGTGAAGACTTGTCATGTTTTAGATTTTTTTTTTTTGATATCATATTCCTTAATTGGTTAAAATCCAAAAGCCAATCGAATCGTTTCTTAGGTTGCCAATGGTTACGCAAAAATATGAAGATAGATAGATTGCTTAGCTATTCCTCGATTATTGCGACAATAATCAATATGTTAATTACACTTAATATAGTAAATTGACAGAATATGTCAATGTTGAATTAATTCGAAGATGCGTTTTTTCTTTGTTCTTTTATTAATTATAGCAAAGATCCTCATTCACGTCGCATAAGTATAATATCCAGCGATAAGTTTCGTCAGGTTAAATCTACTTTCTACTTTAATATGAACAATATATGTCCACCTAATATTTTGGAAATGACAAATTTCGAAGGTAAATATTTAGTATTTGATTTTCGTAATAATTTTTATTTTAACAAATTTTTCTTGTAAATATTCAAATGCAGAACAAATGCTGACCAAGGAAAACATGTACTATCATTGGTTGTATCGCAAGATTATTTCTTAATAAATTCGTTGAATACAATTGATAATTCAAAAAAGTTTATATCGTTTAAATCACATTTGCTTTTTTGCCAACAATGCTTAAATCGTATTAGCGAAGACCTACAAAAAATTTAAATGTTAACAGACGTCTATTTTAGCTTTTGTTTTCATTCGCATGCAAAATAATTTCAATTTTTATTTCGTTTGGAAATGTAAGTTTGAAAATTATGTATAATAAAATTGTAAAAGCATTTAAAATCTTATCAGTAATTTTTTAGAGAAGCTTAATTTGATCTTTATTTCAAACAATGACGGAAGTGTTGAAATATACCTTTTTTTTTTGGCTTTGTTTTACAAGTCGATATTTGGATATTTTTTGTAGTTAATATATATCCATTCGTTAGTGGTGGGAGAATTGTTTACATTGTTCACAAAAAAAAAAAAAAAAACATACCTAAATAAGCTTCAACTATTTTTGTCTCTTAATTCAATTTATGAACTATGACGTATATTTGTAGCTATACGTCTAAGACGAGACAAACATAGGAGCTCCATTAAATAATCTCTAAATAACTTTTCTCATGCCCAATAATTAAAGCACTGAATGAATTTTATCAATGTATGTGTGTATGTGTTCTGCAAGTCGTGCCTTGACATTTCCAAAAGTTGAAATTTTACATTTACATCCTTGAATTAGATCGATATCGAATTGATGAATATCATGAACGTCATGATGTCCCAAAATTTAAGCAAGTTTTACATTTGTTTTGGTTAAGGAATTTGATTTTTTGGTTTTTATTATACAGCAGAAGCTAAACATAAGTTCGGCGCACATACACAAGTATTCTCAGTTACGATTTTGCTTTCAAGATTTTACTCTAGATTTTAGAGATCTTTTTGTTGCTAGGAGGGGAGAGATATCAGATTTTGACCGGCTAATTCATTATTATTTAACCGCACGCTTATTTAATTTGTTAGCCTAGACAGCCAGACAACGTAATTTAAGGGCTTAAGCAATAAGCCAGTGATAGCGAATACAAATAAAAAAAAAAAAAAAATTCCTTAAAATATCATTGAATTATTCCAAGGTATAATAAGAATTTCATAGCATGTCTCTTTCTCTCTCTCTCTCTCTCTCTCTTTCGCTCTCTCTGTCTCTCTCTCCCTCTCACGCTTCCATTTTTTTTTGGTCTGAACGAATGTCATTAACAGAATGTTTTATCAATTTTTGTTTTGTTTCGAAGATTCTAAACAAAAATTTTGCTACTGCGCATAATATTTAATATTTTTAACAACCCTGCTATTGTACTATATAGTTTGTTATTGTAAATCCCGGTATCGTGGGTGGTTGTTGTTGGAATTTCTAATTTTTCTATTCTAAGGTTAATAAACTTTATATTAAACTTGACAGTTAGTTTTGTTTTACGAATTATAAGAACACAACAGAACACGATAAATGCAAAGATGTCGTAATAGGAAGAAAAATACGTTAATACTGAGAAAGTGGTTCAAAAGAAATCATAAAAAAAATTACGGACATTTACGCGCTTGCACAGAGTTCAAAATAGTACAAATAGTACAATCCAATTAGAGTATTATTGTAAAAGTATTTCTTGTGTTTATTTGAATTGAAAATGTAAAGATTTCATTTTAGAACTATTTGGCATCTGATGAGGTTCAGACGTGTTTTCGAGCTTATTATAAAACGGATAGATAAAATAATTTTTAAAATTATCCTTCAAGTGTAATAAAAAGGACTAACATTAACTAATGTGAAATAAGTAAAAATAGGATAATTTGCGCCACAAGGATATTTAATAACTAAATAGTGCATTTCTGTTCATACGATTTTTTAAGTGAATGACATCAATGTGTCTTTAGTTGAAATTAACTAAAATTAAATTACGAAAATGGTGCGTAAATAATAAACAAAAAAAAAAAAAAAAAAATTAATAAATAAATAAATAAATAATGTGATAAAAAGAAATTGAAAAGAATTTATTTAAGATATTTTGAAAAACATTTTAAAATTATATTTTTAACTGTGGCATAATAATACAATTTAATACAATTATTATAATTATTATTTAGGGGAAATCATAAAAGTGCAACAGACGCTGCAGGCTCAAGAAAAATAAATTTATTTCTCCATTTTCCGATTGTTTTCTTTGAAAATTTACTTTTGTGGGGAATTAAGGGGTTTTCATGTCTTAACTACGTACAAGTTGTTGCCGATTAAGTTAAGTTGAGTCTCGACAGCACAGCCTGCTTTTCAAATGACGAAAATCCCGTAATACTGTCCAGAAAGGAATAGATTCTACCATGAGACCAGAGACCACGCCGCTTTCGACGTTTCATAAAAAATAAATATTTTAAAGAGTCTCTTCTTTTATGTTAAAAATTTTATAATTCTTATGTGGTCTGTAACGCTTTATCGCTAGTCTAAGTTTACAACGTTTCTGTCTATTGTCGCATGGAATCGCTGTAAAATATTCATTGTGTCGAGTATCTGTAACCATGAAGCGGATCAGGAGTACAACTTAATAATCTAACAAAAAAAAGAAGAAGAAATATATATATATATTTTGAAATAATTCTGCACTTTAATACACTAATCCTCGGGCGTAATCATGTTTCATGCTAACTTAATTAACAGTTAATAACATTTCCATTGAACGTTAATTACTTAAGTAATTCATAAGATCTAATAAAAGAATATAGTGAATTAGAATCTGGTGCTAATCTATTTGAATGTCTCAGCAATAGTCACAGAAACAATAACTGATAGTCGGATTCTAAATTGCAAGCTTAATTAAAGCCAGTAATATTTGTGTCAAAAAATCAATTCATTGCTAACAATGACTTTGCTACGGAAGTTATCATTTCCGTTGAACATTGTTTAAAGCGTACTCTCAAATTGCGTTGTATATGATGATCCGTCGGCACTTTTCGTACCTATTTCCTGCACAGGTTTTTACGTCAAAGATGTCATTATCATTATCATAATTAATTTACCCAGAGTAATTAATTTAGAGACTAAAAGTCTTAAAGCATAACCATCTGAGGCTCTCCATCGGCTTTATTAGAAACTTTACCGCATTTGAGATATGAAACTACGATCATTGAGTAGCTAGTCGACCACTTAGGCGGACCTATATCAGAGATGAATCGAATTTTTTTTCAGTGTCTAAAAAAAGGCCTTGACATTTGAGATATGAAACTACGATCATTGAGTAGCTAGTCGACCACTTAGGCGGACCTATATCAGAGATGAACCGAATTTTTTTTCAGTGTCTAAAAAAAGGCCTTGACAAGTAGCTTTGTCCACCTATTATCAACATTCAAAAAAAAAAAAAATATATCCTTTTCTCCTACAAGGGCCTACAAGTTGTGCCCTATTGTAAGTTTTGTGCATTCCTTTAGATTCCTGAACAAGGTGTTATGTTATTCGTTTAGCGGAATTCTTGAAATATCCGAAATTTCGCTTTAGCGCTTATAAAGTTAACGAACGTGAACTATTAAACTATTTGGATAAATTGCTTGCTACTTCAAGTTTCTCGACTAAATATTACACTTAAACATCGGTTAAAACATAGAGAGAAAATAGAACATAACCTCAAAAGAAATGAAAATGTATGCGGGCGTGTATTAAATTTAAATTACAACCTTTTAGGTGTGATTAGAATCAATTATATGCTAATAATTCCTGTAATATTTTCATAAAGAATAGATTCCAGTAAATGGATACATTTTTAATTAAATTTTTAATAGAATCCCAAGAAGTGCTTATGCTAAATTTCAAAACTTTGTTTTAGATGGACTTAAGTAATTTAAAAAATCTACTCAGTTTACTTATTAGATAATTAGAACGGATGGAATTATTATTTTGTATGCAGACTTGACGATTCGCTGGAGCACGTTTAACTCACTTATAGTTTCATTTGTTATACTACTTTCCTTCTTCTGGGGATTTTCGAACTCCACAATTTCTTACAAATCTTAAGCGTTACCTAATATTTGTTTGTTAAAAGTTGTTGTTGGCTAGCGTTTAGTACAAAATAAATATTTATAAATTTAGTTTTTGAAGACTTGTTATAAAAGTGTGTGGACGATGTTTGATTATAATTCTAAAACATAGCATAATTTGGTTACATTTTTCCTTTTACTGCTAAGTTTACAAGTTATTTGGATCTTTTTAGTTCCTAATTTCCAGATATATCTGTAAAGAACTTTTGATTCAGAATAATGTAAAATCTTTTTGATTGATTCATCATTCAAAAACGCGCATTTCTTTCATTATTTCGGTCTGTATTCGTGGTGCCTATGGCGTATCTCTTGTCCTCAATTCTTTGAATATATATAGAACGAAATTCTTTGCTTAGAACAACTTTGAAGGAATTTTGGAAAAGTTGAGAGCATATTTCTTCAAATTTTATTAAAACACACACACACATACACACACACACACAAACCCAAACCTTATAAAAATAATGAAAATTTTTGAAAATTTTAGGGTCTGGAGTTTTTCTTCAAATTTGGGTACGTTTTCCTAACGACAACTTTAATAATTATAATATGGATGTCGCTGGCAAGAGCTTCGGTACACAATCATCGCGAAATGGAGGAGGCGCGATATCCACCTTGCACATTTAATGCGCTATGCACATGTTCAAAATCGTCAACAGATTTGGGTATAGTACACTGTAAGAATGTACCGTTTCCAGCGCTTCCTCGTATGGTCAATCAGTCCAAGGTAAAATAAATATATTATCTAACATATCGGATTAGAGTATTGAGTGTAATTAATATGACTTGTGATTATTTTTCTACTCAAAGGTCTTCATGTTAAATATGGAGAATACGGGTTTAAGAGAAATTGAACCATATTTTTTACAATCGACAGGTAAGACTTATAAAAATATAATTCGAACGCGTAGCGTATCATTCGCTTTTCATATATATATATCAATATGTATATTTATACATAGGCATGTATCGTTTGAAAATTTCGGGGAATCATTTAACCGAAATACCAGATGACGCTTTTACTGGATTGGAACGTTCGTTGTGGGAGTTAATATTGCCACAAAATGATTTGGTGGAGATACCGTCGAAATCATTTAGACATTTGCAAAAGTTACGTCATTTAGATTTAGGTCACAATCATATCACGCATGTGCAACATGATTCATTTCGCGGTCTAGAGGATTCATTGCAAACGCTCATACTACGCGACAATTGCATTTCAATGCTGCAGGCTCATAGCTTTTCAGGATTATTAATTTTGGAAACTTTGGATTTGAGTGGTAACAATCTATTTGAAATTGATCCTAATGTCTTTGTGGATGGTATGCCACGTTTAATGAAACTTTTATTAACGGATAATATATTATCTGAAATACCGTATGATGCATTGGGACCTTTGAAAAGTTTACGCACCCTTGACATATCACATAACGTGATATGGTCTTTGAGTGGTAACGACAGCTACGATATTAAAGCCACTGCAAAGTTAAATTTGGACAATTTACATTTGGAATATAATAATATACGCATGTTGCCACCAAATTCATTTAAATATTTCGATATAGTAAATCGTACATTTTTCGATGGTAATCCAATACATACAATGAGGGTATGTACATTACAATTATATATATATAAATTTTTTTCATTTGTTTTTTTGTTTATTATTATTATTATTATTAATCTTCATGAAAATGCTTAGGAAGATGCTTTCAAACCAGCTAAAATACGTGAAATTTATATGCGTTATTGCGGCTTAACGGATATATCACCGATGGCCTTTGATAGTTTGGTAAACACTTTACAAATCTTAGATATATCTGGAAACAATTTAAGTTATATTCATCATAAGCTTTTTAACAGCTTTGATGTTTTGAGGTAAGTAATAAATAGTTCTTCTTGTTGCTGCTTGAACATGAAAATAAAAAAAAATAAAAAAAAAAATAAAAAAAAAAAATGCTAATATAATGTAGCTGAGAAAACACTCCACTTGAAAATAAGAGAACGACGAGTCAAGTCAAGTCGAGTACTTTGTTTTTTTCGCATTTCGTTGTTGGTAAACGATGCCATTATGTGTATTCAATACGTTTCTAATCCGATTATCACATCACATGCTTTTATGCCAGACTACTATACTATGGGGCATATAAATAGCAATTGCATATGTATTCACTTTACTTGTGAGTTCTCTGCCGCGTCCCATTTAGGGAAGATTTTTTTTTTGGTGAGAGTTTAATTTTACCGAAAGCATATATTATGGCTTCACCTCAAGTGGGACACATAGGCACATAGGCAGATATAACCCTAATTCTTGTTTCATCAAATTTCTTTTAAGGGCTTAAAATTGATAACGAAATGTTCATATTATTATTTTTAGTTAACTTATGTACAAACTAGTAATTACTAACACACACACACACACACACACACACACACACACACACACACACAC